GGTTGGGGTACAAGGAGGGGTTACAGGGGAACAGGCAGGGAGGCAAGGAGGAAAGACAGATGGACAGAGAGGAGAGAAAGAGGCAGATGGAGAGGGAGAGGAAGAGAGAGAGACATTGCATAATAGCATAGAAATGGCCATGATTGCTCATTGCAGCATAATTTAAAGTATGGTCCGCACCGCAGTTTTTCGGGTGCTCTCCCTGTCTTTCATTAAACCCTTTTCCTTTTCTATTGTTCCTGTTTAACAACCAAGAAAATCACATTTATTTTCATAACACATCAAAGATAAGTGTCACAATATATTCTCCACATCATGCAAACCATGAAGGTGGTAACCAAAAAAGGTCAAAATTACAAACCATTAAATGAAACAAATAGACCTAATAAAAAGCAGAACGTCCATTTCAAAAAAACAGACAAACACATTTGCAGCAGCATCTGACACAAAACATGCAGTGAAGACACGTGGTGAGATAAGTGAGATTAAAGATATTGTAAATGGTCTATAATTGATTTCAGTATATACTGTGTTATATTTGTCTGTATTTGAGTTATAGTGGTATAGTGTAGTGCTTACATGACACCAAACCACAATAATGATGTTGTTATTTTGTTGTTATTTTGTTGTTTGTATGCTAAACATTTGGTAGATCAGCTTTGTAAGAGTGTAGTGACTGATTTATTAAGATGCATTCAAATTAAAGGACACGTTTGAATCCGTGTATGTGCACATGGATTAGGCTGTGCTAAAACAGGAGGATTGAACTTCATCCCACCAGGGGGAACGGCCACTGACTGACCAGTGCGCCGGTTCCATTGGCACCACAACGCATATTAGGTCTACCGGTTAGTGAGCGGGGCACTGGAGTATACAGGGCGAGAGAGAAGAGGGAGAGACCTGGTGCGCTGCGGAAGGTCGGTGATCATTCTCTCTGGTTGGATGAAGCCCGACCATAGACTGAATATAGCAACGCAGACCACAGCTGTTGCAAACAACAGGCGCATGGATTTAACAGAAAAACAAAACAGATGTCTGTTTTTTTGCGTACCTTACCCTAACAACTAATGAAAGAAAGAACCATAAACGGATTCGTCTGACATAATACTCCCCACTTCGTTTTTAATTCTTTATGCTAAACTAAGCTAACTGGCTACTAGTGGTCAATAAAACAAGAAATTCCCCATGCACAGCAACAACAGTCAGGTGCTAGTAGGTCGCAGGATTTAGCAATGAAAAATCACTCCGATTAAACCTGAAGAAGCCACAAGCAAAACGCGTTATTCACAATAAATATAGTCATTTCAGTGTGTGGTGGCTTGTTTTTGGCTTCTAGTAGTTTTGTACTTGACACATATAAGTGTGGTATTAATCTTCTCATCTAACTCTTCACCATAACAGCAAATAAATGTATTTGTTATTCATTGTTGCGCTGACAGTCCACTGGGAGGATGCTGTAAAGGAGGCTCACAAACGGAAAAGGCTGCAATATTCCAGCCTTGCCACTGAGGCTGAACATCGGGGCAGGAATGTCAAGGTGCGGCCAGTTGAGTTGGGATGCAGGAGATTTGTGGCCAACTCTGCAGCGAAATTTATAAGCTGGGAGTCAGAGGACACGCCAACAGAACAACAAAGCCCCTAGTAGAGGCTGCTGAAACAACTTTAACAATTGTAGCCTTTTTAATGTTCATGAATGCGTATATTATGTATTTTAATTAGTTTAACTGTTTCTTGTGTAATTATTTTTGTTAAATAAAATCAGGCATGACTAATCATCAGTTCTCTATGTTAACTGGAAATATAGTATTGATCTAAACATTTAACAAAAATATGATAGTTATTAGTTAAAAATGAAAGTATTGAGGTGGTATTTATAGGTTAACATTTTGCATGCAGCTCCTCAATGAATTATGATTTTAATGTTTTTAGATAGTATATAGTATGTGGTGTTGATATTGTGACGTATTGTGTCACCACAAATAAATCAATAAATGGAAAACACTGCTTTGTGGTGCAGATTCTAGATACAGTTTTTATGTCATCTTAGCTCTGATAGTGAGGTAGTTAAAATTGCCTTAATATCGGCGCATGAAAAACCAATCGCTGATCATCCCTTCAGTCATCGATAGTTGATCCAAACGCCAGTTGGAACAAGCCTAGCACCAAATCCGTTCACAGTATTATGGTCCTTTCAAACCACCTCTGATTCAGGAATTCACCCCCTTCATATGTGTTTACAAATGTCTATGATTTACGTAAAGAAGCTATAATCAATATTTTTATATTGATAATGGATCATGTGACTACTTGTATGTGACATGTTTTTTGTGTAGTGCTCTATTGCAATGCCCTCTTAGTGGGTCTTCCAGCTTGTGCGGTGAAACCCCTACAAATAATTCAGAATGCAGCAGGGTGTCTTGGTTTCGAACAGCCCAAAAGGACTCATGTCACTCCATCACTCAGTGACCTCCACTGGCTACCCGTGGCCTCCTGAATCAAATTCAAGTCACTAATGCTTGCATACAGAGTACCTACTGGGTCTGCACCCATCTACCTAAACTCCATAATACAAGCTAATGTTCCTTCTTGGCCACTGCGCTCCTCCAACGAACACGGTCTGGCTCTGCCATCCCTACACACAAAGCAATCTCAGTCCCGGCTGTTCTTATGTGTAATACCACGATGGTGGGACGAGCTACCACATGCCATCAGAGCAGGGGCCTTCAGACGCTCTTGAAAACTCATCTCTCCTGAGAACACTTTCTCTTATAATACCTCTAACCCCTAAACTCTAAAATGCCTTTCTGTGCTCTTCTTCTTTTATATATTGTCAGTTGTAAATCTCTTGCTGTATTCATGCTTTGTTGACGCTTGTATGTTGTTCCTCAAATGTAAGTCACTTTGGAAAAGCGTCTGCCAAATGAGTAAATGTAATGTAATGAACCCATCTCTTCCACTGACCCAACTCTACAGAAGTACCCCGCTTTGCAGGGGTTTATTGCATCTTTCAGTTCAGTGTTTTGGTTTTCTGACCTGCAGCTCTACTGTTTTGGTTCACACTCACGGCTCTCATCTGTGTTGTTTTTTGGCCCAGCTGGCAGCTGTTTTCAGCGAAACAGCTCTAAAAAAAATTTATATGGATTGACATGGCACATTTGCTGTGCCATGCCACTAGAATAATGTGAGTATAAATGCTGCATGGTTCCTCTAAAATAGTACTAAAAGTAAACATTTTCATACATACTGTCACATTCTGCCTTATCGGTCCTGTTTAGGTCTCTGTGAGTTTTGTTCATTGGTCTGTTTGGTATCTGTTATTTAGTATGCATTTTTGGTCTCTTGTGTTATACTGTTTCGTCTCATTTATTCTTGTGAGGATGTTTGTGTTGGTTCTCATTCTGTTTTCTTGTCCTACTACTTAGTCCTGCATTTCAGTTCTGAGTCTCAGTTCATGTCTTAGTGTTTACTCGTGGTCTGTGTACTTCGGTGTTGTTTTGCCCATGTCTGCTCTGAGTTCTGTTTAATCTTAGCTTCAGTCTGTGTTCCTTGTTGGCGTTAGTTTATTTGTGATCTGTTTGCTGGTGTCTGTTCCCCCAGTAATTCCTCTGCCTGCTTGTCCAGTAAATACTTTGAGTTCCAGTTAATGTATGATCTTGTGTTTTGCATCTGTAAGTGTCTCTCTGTTCCCCCTTGCTGTCTCATCCTGCCTGCCTGCCTCTCTGTTCTTGCCTGCTGTCTCTCTCTCTGCCTGCTTGCCTGCCTCTCTGTTTTCCCCTGCTGTCTCTCTGCCTCGTTAGTCCTGATCCCGGTCACCTGTGTTGCTCCCACCCTGCTTGTTAGTCCCTGGTGTTAAATGTAGCTGTGTGTCTTCAGTCCTTGTTTGGTCATTGTAGTGTGTTCACACTCAGTCTTGTGGTTTGGAAGAGTGTTCTGTTGGATTCTGGATTACCTGCCTTTTTGGACTTTGTCTGCACCTTTCAGTGTACACCTGTGTTTTCAGTAAGTGTTAATAAAATCCCGTAACTATCTCCTGCTCCAGTGTCTTACGTTTGGGCTCACACTCCTTCTGAAAATCCTGACACATACATACTAGTACTGTATGTTCACGCAACAGTAACAACAAATGTTCTTATTGTGAATCTTAATACAGTGAAGTGAAGACAGCAATGATTATTATGTCTAAAACACTGCAAAATCTAACACACATCATCTCCTCGACCAAGTGTTAGAAATCATTTAACCTCTAAAGTAGAAACACAGCAACTATCTGTACAACAAAATACTCCAAATGAAATCTAACATCTCCCAATTCTTCGTGACAGCGGACTTAACTAAGTTAATATCTGCAATAAGAATAAATCAATAAACCAAACCATCAGCTCTTCTATGATCCTTGTGGTCGCTTTGTATTCTTCAACCAAGTGTCTTGACTGGCCAGGACTCCATCGTTCAGTGAGCAGAGCTATACTGTGGTGAAAAGCTCCTGCTGGTCTCAGGCGAGGAGAAGCTGTGCGAGGCCTGGTACTGTTTGGTCAGAGCAGAGGCTGGGGCTGGACCTATAGGTGGATATTATAATTCATGCAGCTTTGCACAGTGGTCAGGGATAAGCTCACCTCAAGGTCAGGGAGCTGTGAGTGGAATACTCATTGGGAAGTGTGGGCTTATTTTCACATCTCTGCACATCCTCCATCTCCTGGCAAATAAGGGAAGATTCTACTATGTGTGGCAGAGCCAGTGTGTGAGCGCTTGCCAAGAATTAAAACGCTTGCAATAGAAACCTTCTTGTTGTTTTAGTGGTGCTGTTGTATTTTTCCATACTAAACTTTTATATTTAATGCAACCACCTTTTCTGTAAATTGTGTATGTTGCAGTTTTGCCACTAATGTATATGAAGATATTGTTATCATCCTTTTGTAGATTTTATTGCAAATTTCATGTTACTTCATTTTTAAAGTTTTCTGCTAATTTTTCTGGAAATGAGAAAGTGCGGGAGTCTCACATACAGTTTTCATTCCACATGTATATTCAGAAGAAATCACCATGCATCCATAACGAACATACAGTAAATCCACCACACCCATGGTTATCCATAAGTGAAAAATGGTAGAAAGAAAATAAATCCTACATGACTGTGCGCACACGCAAACACACAAACAAAAGGAGATCCCAGGAAACACTAACAACTGTGCTTACCATGGCCTGAGGTAAAATAGGAAACGGAAACAAAACAAACAGTCTGTTCGCTAGATATCCATGACAACAACAAATTGATGGAGTTTACGTCTCATATATTATTTATATTATTTGATAGCATTGTAGGCAATCTACATGGGAGAGAAATTCTGGTGAGAATACAGAACATCTTGGATGTTTGGATGACAAGAGCTGCTTTCTCCAAGGCTTGTTGGATGTATGTATTCATCTGTCACATTTAAATGTGACTAAGAGGTACTTTTTCCTATCCTCTCCAGTGCTGCTGCGCTCAACTAGACACACAAACATTATGACACACTAAATCACTGATGTCATTCAATGCAATAAGCAAACAAATATGTATTTTAACAAATGTAAATGCAGTATTTGTATTCCACATAGTTAATAAAAAAAATGGCAGTGGATGTCAAAATTTTTAAAATGCTTTATGTCTAATATTCTTCTGCTGTGCCTGCAGGCTGTGTGGTATTTCTTTCAGGACTGGTAAGTAAGAAGTAACGTTCAATTCATAACTAAAATAAATTAAATGGTGATAACACTGGAAATACAGGTCACATAATTATGATTTGTGGTTTAGTTGCTGTAATTCATATTATTAAGTACATAAAATTTTATATTTTTAATTTTTTTTCAAAAACAGAAATTACAAAGTGCATTATAGGAATATAAAAAGAGAAATAGGGAATAAAAGAGAGAGAAGACAATGAATAACAAGAGTCTACAGCCATGCTAGAAAGGGTGTATTTAGGCACAATAGTGCTCTGAGCTAAATGCTAACCTCACCAACAATATCTATAAACACCTCATTTTAATTTTGCTGGGTGTCACAAGCAGAGAATGAGAGTGTATCAGCCTGTATGATATATAATGGAGCTCACTATTCTCTATCTCCAGAGCGGCAGAGAAGTGCGAATCCTAGTGCAGGGGCATACTAAACCATTTTGGACCTTTTGTAAGGGGTGCAAGGTGCCTCAGAGAGCCTCCACTAATTTCATTAATATTTGGATACCAAGTTCATTCTCTCAACCAATTTATTAAGCCAACACTATAAAAGTTAGAAATAAATTTTTATTTTTATTTTTAAATGTATTTAAAAAAAAATTATTCCAGGCTTTTCTGAAGGCTCTCCCCCATTGGGGCCCTTGGTAGTCAGTCTGTTACAGTCACTTCAAGCACAGACACAACAGAAACAGGGGATTTGGACCAAAATGCAGAAAACCAGGAAGAGTGGATGTAGTTTACAAAATATATTAACTAATAGCGTGAACTTACTGTGATGGTGAGGCAGGCAGACCAAAACTAAGCAAAGTAAGTCCAGACAAAAGGTAAGCAAATCTAGGATGGCACAGGCAATAATGCAAAATCCAAATGCATAGTCCAAAAGGGAGATACTCCAAAAGCACTGGGAAACACAAGAAACCAGGCTGAATGCTCAACAAAGTAGAAGTATGAGCTAACAGCAAACAATGGGGGTAACACTCACTTAAATACAGGAGGGGTGGAGATAACGAGACACAGGTGGAAACAGTAATCAACACAAAGACAGGAAGTAAAGTGAACATGGACACATGAGGAAAGATTTATTAAAATAAAACAGGAAATCATCACAATCAAAACCAAAGCCATGACATAATCTGACACTTTCCTCCCACTATGAAGCCACTGTATGAGTGTGATATGTAAAATGTGTTGGTCACCTGTGTGTCTGACAGTTCTTTGTGTAATTATTTGATGGTGAAACGTGTCAGGAAATCAAATCTAGCTAACTTGTCATGTGTGTGTGAGTTTTTGTTTGCTAGTGTGTTTGTGTGTTTGAGACCACCTGCTGTTGTTATAGCTACCTATTTTGTATAAAGAAGTAATTTGGCCTTAAGTCAGTGGATGCCTTAATATCTTGCCCCAGTGATTGTTTAAATTTCCCCTCCTACACTTTTGCTCTCGGGAGGCGGCTGATGTGCATAAAGCCTGAGCTAGGAAATTTTTGTGTAATTCTGCTCTATTACATAATTTGAGTTGGAATGTAATGTAATTTTCTTCATCTTCTTTCTTCATACAGATTTTAACACCTTCTAAGACAAACTTTATAATATACTATATAATTAAAACTGGATTGACTTGAAGTGGCCTGTAAGTGCAAAAGAATAAATGATGCATTACAGTGGGATCTGATCTCTGTCTATCCGTGAGGCAACAACCCTGACGAACTGCAATGCCCAGATAAACACCTGTCTCCACTGACTTAAAGGGTTAGTGTACAGCCAGTTTTGTTGTAAAAAAGAAATCACACCCATCATTGAAGTTATAATAATTAAACATTAAACATTTGCGCTTTCTCTAATAATGGCAGTGGATGTCAAAGTGAGAGTGCTTTCAGAGCTGCAAAACTACAGCTTTCATGGGTTAGGTAGAATTTCTGAGAGAGTGAGGCTTGTGTGAACATTTTAATGTAGTATATGTATGTGAAGAGTCAAGACTATGCAACTAAGAGCAATTTCAAATGTTTTTTCTTGTCTTAAAAACAGCCCCTCATTCTGTTGATTACATCATCCACTAACAGACCACATACACAACCATTCAACTAGAAGAGTGCAGATCTCTGCAAGGTGTGTCCGGGGACATGTAGGTGTGGAACAGGGAGGGCAGAGCAGCATGTATGCATGATAGTAATGAAATGAAGAGGATAAAGTATATTTTGTATACAGTGTAAGTCAGGTGACCTTTGTCATCATGGTATCAATAATAAATGCATGGTTAACGCTGTGAAATAGTTGCAGGTGTTTAGGTTCAGGCAACAAAACATCTTGGTTAGATTTAGGAAAATATCACTGAAATTGGGTTTGGATTAAAATAAGTATTGTATCAGTCATTTAAGTTAGGTATATGACGTAAGTTTGCCATTTTGTGCTTATATTTAGACCAGCCAAAGAGAGACAGGAAAAGTGTGTGTGTGTGTGTGTGTGTGTGTGAGAGAGAGAGATGCTTACTGTTACTGTTTTATTTATTTATTTTATTTTAATTTTTTTTAACACAAACATACGCTTTGATTACTTTACACTTTAATTACTTGTTTAATGAAATGTATGGGGTTGATTGTTCTTCTGTAGTATGTATGATGCTTTGGCAATATTTTTGTTACACATTCATGCCAATAAAGCTAATTTCAATTGAATTGAGAGAGAGAGAGAGAGAGAGAGAGAGAGAGAGAAGACATGCAGGAAAGGGCAGTGGGCTGGAGTCGAACTGCAGTCACAGGCCACAAACAGCAACCGGTTGAAAGTTCTGTGTTTGTTTGACCCATCCATCCAAGCGGACTATGACATTTGCACCTAAATGACAATGACATCTGCACAATTTTTTGTCAGTACAGACTAAATGGTGTGAAATGACACACAAAATAACAAAAATGCATTGTGATAACAAAATTACTTAAGACAGTGGTGTGTTAATCAAATGCCATTTTATGATACAGCCTGGATAATTTATATTTCATCGGACTCCATTTGACATGAATTAATCCATTATTTGCACATGAATGACTGTCCAGATGGACAACATGCACAGTACTATTGCTAAAGTTGATGGTGGTCCACTGCGCACTGAGAGAACAATTATTATGTCATCAAAGTCTTATTTTCAGGACAAAATCTCTAATTGTCGTAAATGTCCAATTAGCTTGAAGTAGAGAAATATTTAGTGGATACAACTTGACCTCCGTAGACTGAGGACGTTGTTATGAGAGCTGAGAGAGAGAGAGATTAAACAGAATTAGTAGTCAACTGAACGGCAACAGCTCTCACACAGAGAATAATTAGATATAGAGTTCAAATGAGAGCATCAGCTGGATCAAATCATTCATCAAAATCATCATAACAAACATAACATCTAACTCTCTTTGTTATAATGTATCTATATTACTGATTCTTCATGCTTGCAATTAAATACTAGTAATACACCATATACAATAATGAAAATAGTTATTGTTTCACCAAATATCTTTCAGTCAGACATACAGTATTTATAGGCATACTGTGACTAGAGCTTTCCATCAACCATGGACTGTTCACATACTGACTTAATTAGCTGTATGAATCCCACCCCATACACACTTGACATCTGTTAAAGTCTCATGGTTGTGTAGCAACTGGTGCAATCATAATTAAGATTGCTGTGAGAGCCACCAACAGGTGAAGCAGGAATGAAGAAGTCATGTAAATTTTATTTATATAACCCGATATCACATATTTGAAATTTTTCCAGGAATACTGTGGGTCACTGGATTCCTGTGGGATTCCAACAGTATGGGAGTCAATTTCACCATCATTATGGAGCTGGGACAGGACAGGAAACAAAAAGGAATCGGGAGTGGGCAGGATGGGAATCATACGACAGTTTTATATATCGAGAGTCATTCTTCCAGGATTGGGACTGAACGGGATTTTTTTTTACTATGTCATGGGATATGGACATTTTTGAGAGAGTGGGTGGGACAGGAATCAAAATCCACTCCTGTGTCACCCTCTATCACAAATCTCAAATTGGCCTTCACAATCTATACAGCGTATGACACTCTCTATCTTTAGACCCTTGACTCGGAAAAGGAAAAACTGTTCTGTCTGACCAATTATCAAATGACAATTGTATACCTTCTCTAGGTTGACTATATAATATAAGTTGTTTGTCCATTTTGACTCATTAACAAAATGTTAGTCTGTAAATCTGCAAATTAGTCAGGGTTCTCCAGTCTCTGTTGTTTCTTTGGAAGATTTTTTTATACTTTTGTGAGATATGAGCTGGTCCTGCAAAAATAGAGCTGACGCATAAAGATAACAGAGCACAGCACAGAAAAGAGCCTTGTGTGAGCTGTGAGCGAGACACTTTGACAAAGTATCCAGTGGACATTAGCGCACTGGGTAGATTAGCAGAGGATTGTGTCTGGCAGTGACAGTGGAGCTGGAATGCGACACAGCTGCATCCAGCAGACATTGGGGTTAATCAATGTATCAGCAATATCAGAATATCAATCCTATACTCATACCATAGGTGCAACATAATGTTTAACCCTGCTCAACAGAGTAAAGTAGTTTCTGTAAATTGTTGTTGAGTGTGCCATCAAACACTTCAGTTACATAATGTTTCAGTTTGTTGCTATTGAATGAACAAAACAAGAACCTTTTGTACATTTTGTTTTTTGTAAGCAACACTCATCCCTCCCACTACCACCATACCTTTGTCATCTGATTATATACTATGTCAGCTCTCCTCAACCTCTAAATTCAGGGTTATACGTGCTCTCGTATTCTTTCATCATTCAGTTTTGATTTATACAGTGCAGGATGTACCATAAATACATGTCAAGTACCGAATGGATGAAAAATTCCATTGCTGAGTGAAATGTCAGATTGTACAGAAAGACAACACATAGACGTAAATGTGCATGGGCTGCATTAAATTATGTGTCTTTATGTAGTGGGTGTACAGAGTATGTGCAGAGTTGACATAACTAAGGTCAATTTAGCAGATCTCACCAACTAAAGGAGAATATGACCCCTGTTGTCCACTAGGGGACAGAATGTCTCCTACAGAGGTTTCCTTGTCTGTTAGAGCTCATCAAGTGTCTTTCCCCCCCCCCCATGGTCTCTCTGTGACCTGCTCAAAGTAAGGCCATTTCCAAAAGCCCAAAGGACTGTTTGGAAAATTCATGTTAGATATGCATTACAAATCAATGTAGGCAGAAACAGTGAAAAAACCTAACCTGAAAATTTAAATTGCAGCGACGGTATCGTTTTACAAGTGCAGAGATTCTGATTGTCTGAATCCAGAAGAAGACAAAGACCAAGACACTTCACACATTCTTTCTTTCTTTCTTACTGATGAGTTCATATCTAGCACTAATTCAGAGAGAAAAACTCCATCTCATTTGACTTTCTGACTGCATAGTAGTTTTTTTAATAGGGAGCTCTATCCTCATTATGAGGCTATATGTTTGGCTGCAAGAAATAAAGCACACTTTATGTATTCTGGTTAAAGACATACATGTTCTATTAAGCCGATATTAGTGAGGCATACCTCTGTCCTCTTATTTTGACTCATTTGAATACACATGGTGTATAATGCTCTCTCAGTTTGGTTGATCCCCCACATCTTTTTTGTGCACAATTTAATGAAATTTGCACATTTTCAAGGATTACACAATATTGGATTGTATGAGTTGGTAACTTATCTTAGCCTCTAGTTATAACCATGAACATACCGTTCTGGTCAACATTATTGGCACCCTTGGATTTTATTAAATTGTGCTGTTGCTTTTCTTGGGAGGACAGTCTCCCATCTTTACATTGTCCTGACAAGGCCTTATGTGGTCATGTGAAGGATGACTGTCAGGAGCAAAAGCAGAGGTTGCATGGCTTTGCCACCAGT